TGTTGAACCAAATTTTCTTATTACTCGTAAAAGAAAATTAAAAATTATACTTTACTGAAAATCGAATGTGGGCCCCTTCATAAACGAGTGATACAACATTCACTGTATGTGTGTATGTGAACCTCTTGTAGTTTTGTAGGAGCCCAANGCCACCCATGATCCCAAGAGGTAAGGCATAAAACATCCATTTCGAATAGGCTCCTGTATTTTAGGTTAGGTTAAAAGAACATACTAACGATTGCATCATTTTGAACTGTTCGAGCTAAATTGTTCCAATTTCAAATGTATGCCTTTTATACCCTTAGTCAGGCGTCGCACTTCTTTTTTCAATTTATGTGGTAATTAGTTAGAATTTGAGTCGGATCGGGGAACCCTGATGTCGAGATAACTGCACACTGCTCAGCTACAGCACACATCCTTCACGATGTAGTAAGTGTGTTTCTAGCTTACGTACGGCTATGCTGTAAAGGATTATATGAATGAAGTCGTCAGAAGTACTTTAATTGTCATTTCCTCTCATTCATCAGCGTCTGTCTATTTGAATGTTTCGAACATCCTTTGCCCATCGGGTTCGTTAACAGCTCACGTGTTGCTGCAAGTTCACGCAGCGGCCCAGTTGAAAAATTGCACATTGCAGTTAATGAATCGTTGAGTCAAGAAGCGATGCAACTGCAACTCCCTCGTGATATTTTATTTTTACTTGTTTTGTCAAGCATGTTGGCGCAGAAGCCAAAATGAGATTTTGTTAGACTCAGATTTTTGGAAGTTCATATAGCCCTAAGAGATAACTTTTTCAACGTCGTGGCTTTATTCAGCCGTGGCGTCGTGTGCAGTATTTTTGATACTTGAAGTCGGACACTCATCGGTTTACAAGCGAAAATAATGCGATGTTACGATATAGTCAGTATTTAAGGACATTCTGTCGATGCATAATGCACGGGAACTTAATGATGTTCCGTGTGCGATTAGTGACAAAACGATTTCGGAGTTTATTCGAAACTCGTTCCGCAGAAGGGATCGAACTATATTTTTTCCGCTCCATGATGTAAAGGGATTTAAAATTTTAAAGAGCTGAATTAAACTAATAGTAATGTATAGTAAAGCAGAAAATGATCTTCTAAAGGCTTTCGTTGTGTTTCGCGCTTTCCCTTTTTATACAATTGTGTAAAAGCAACATAGCAATGGCAATAATTACTTTTTACTCATCTTGGTCAAGTTATTGAACCGGAATCACAAGTGGACCACATTTTGCAATTGGGAACTATAATTTCTGACTCAGTTTAGAAATAACTTATGAGCCATTAGTTTCCCGATGCACAAAAGTGTTTTTAAGAATGAGCCAGAAATTTTAGTTCCTAATTGCAAAATGTAGTCCAAGTCTTGTTCACAAACTGAAGCACGCTTGTAAGCGTATCGTGGCGCACTAATTTATCAGTTCCCCTTCAACTAATCAGGTAGGCAAAAATACCCTCACCAGAGTTAAAATAGTGGTATGCTTGTTATTTGACCTAGTCCTGAATCCTGGTTTGACTGTAAGCTACCAAGACTCGAGTAAAGCCCTCTCAGTCTCAGTTTACATCCAAACGATCGATCTAGAGCTTTAAGCCTTCTAATGACATCTCGCCCCATTCTTTCGAAATAATTTTGCTAGTCTCGATACGGGCCGAAAATCGTGCATGTGAGCCATGCTGTCGTGCTAAGGAAAAACGCCGTAAGAACATTTGAGAGTTGCCAAATTTACTTCGTTGAAATGTTAATTATAGAAGAAAGCTATGAATAATTTTCCTTCAAATTTTCAGGAACTTTCGGTGAAATTGCGAACAAAATTATCTGAAAAATTGGAGGGAAAGTATCTACAAATTTTCTCGTAAATTCGTGTGTTATCAAGGGAAATTTGGCAACGCCTGAAGGTTCATACTACGTTTTTCCTTAGCATGGCGCTTGGTCATGTCTCGATCGGGCGGCCAGGTTTGACGGCGGCCGCGGCCCAGGTAGGAGGTGAGATGCGAGGCGCGAAGGTGTCGCCCCCCCCCCTTTACCCGTCCTCCTTCCCGGTCGTCATGGCAACCGGCTCTCAAGCTCCACTCCCACATTCCACCACCTCTCTCCCGGTCTCCGGCCCAGATTCCGATCCCGTGGTCCCCATTGGTCGCACACGAGCGTTCCCCGTCATTGGAGAAGATGTGCCGATGTATCTATGTATTCGTCTCCACAAGTGGCGTCGCGCCCATGGACGCATGAATCATTTTCTTATTTCCCATCGCATCCTGAACAGATTTTTTAAATCGTGACCTGAAGCTCTCTGGTGACGTGTATGAGAAGCATTGTGATTTATATATTGAACCTTTTTAAGACAAAGGAACAGTATTCCATTTCATTGAACCTTTTCAAGACAAAAGAACGGTAGTCCATTTCAGTGAAACTTTCCAGTCGCTAATTGTACCTACTTTTACGAGGAAACTGCCGAGCATTTCTTAATGAAAATTTCACTAAATTTTCTTCGGATTGGCACAGTTTGAGACAGAAATTGTTCAGTGGTATTCTTGTAAGGAAATGAAGGGTTGGAGTCGATTTTGCAACCTCGAAATGGAAATACATTCCCTTGCCTGAGAAGCGACCTATATTGTGTCTTAAAAAAAATGCTGACGAAATTAATTTTGCTCCCTTTCTTAATCTTATACCTCTTTTTGGAACCGAATACATTTTAATTCCTCCCGTAAAATGTTAAAAAATTATTTTCTTCTGAAAGCAGATCTTGACACGTCTCAAAATCTGAAAGCAGAATTCGATATAAATGTAAATGAGCATATAGAATAGCCACACAAAAGGGTTTACAGGATATTGCCAAGTTTAATGTTGGAAATCGCAAAAGCATAACGATAAAAAGGGTACTCAGAACCCTAATGACCATGACCCTCCGTGACCTGAAAATCCCCCTCCCGTCAGATTATTTCTAGTTTGTTCACTTAATAAATACTGCTCTGTAAAAGTGTCATCAATCATGTATATTAAAAAGGAACGGGGGAAAAACTGTTATCGAAGTTCTTAGAACGGTTCATAGGCTTCTGCAAACTAATAGCGCTGCAGGGACGTCATCACCACATTGTTGATTAAAATCGGCGACGAACCTGATGAGGAGCGATTAAAAATTTGCGGCTAGAGCCAAAGCTAGCGTGCCGAAAGAGCGGCTTAGATGAATGCATTTAATTAAAAGAGGCAGTTAAATACTCGGAGAGGGCGAAATTGATTTGATGCAACCACTCGGCCTTTGATGACTTAATAAAGTCCGCGTCTAAGAGACGAATTAAAGAGGAATTAAACGCACGCGTGATAACAGGAGCCGTCCCTAGATTTTAAACCAGCGCTGCCAAAATTAAAACAAAAATGGAATTTCAGTTAAAATTATAGGAAGAGGCCGAGTTTTCACATACACAAGTTGGCAACAACCGAGACGCCGGCTCCTGGGCCCTGATTATCTGTGGCAGGGGGTTGAGAGTGTTAGGATTAATAGCATAGGGGCATGCTGGCTTAGGTTCTATGCAGTGCGCGAAATATGACTGTTTTCAAATGAAGTCTTGAGAATAATTTATGATTTTTCGGGTGATTTGGCATCTTGGATGCACTAAAGAGGGGGCTGAGAATGACCCCAGCCGTGACTGCACCGGGGGCATCCTATTCAGTATGTTGGTATGTTGATTAAGTCGTTATGACTTGACCTTGCGACCTCTGGCCCCCAGCCACCCGGTTCAAGTAAACAGACCAGAGGTCAGCTTCAGCTTGGAAGCTATTCTCTAACTCATTTCGCAGCCACCATAGTAAGGAGAAGGACTCATTGTCAGCTCTGTAAGCTATGCCCTCGTGTATTCATTTCAGACTAGTACCAACTTTCCAAGTTCCAAAATTCGGGCTAAGATGGTTCGAAAATAACCAACGAGAAAACGAAATCCGAACAAAAGCTTTTTAAGCATGGTTCCAGGATCGACAATACCGGGGATCATCAAGGACTTTCAAATCTCCGGGGGAGGCGAAGGCTTTCTAAACTGTCTTCGCCTCTCAACGGTGACCTGCATATTCTCTTTATTTTTTTCGTTCAGAGGGTGAGGGAACTGGTCGTAATATGACCAATGGCGTGGCGTGATTTGCAATAAATCGATTTATCTGACATCTAACCCTATGGAAAAGGATCGATAAACAACGAACACCTTAATCATCGATTCTTTTCCTCAGTTTCAAATGAGAAGATATCGATAATCGATTATTTACGCTTCGCCGCTGAATATGACAGCGGGTAAAATGGCGCGGAATTCAAATGTGACTCGGCAAATCGACAAAGGCGTAGAATCATGGGTTACGCTCTATTTGTCCTTGGCCGGACGAGAGCCGGTGCCCGGGGACATCACCGTGACGTGCCGTCGGGGGAGGTGCAGGGGGGCTAGGGGGGCGCGTAATCGATTGCCTCCCGTGCGAAACGAAAAACAATAGGTCCGCCGTCGGGGTCCCGTTGAAATGATCAACGCTGGCCAATTGCGCACAGACCAGGGCATGTCGATTCTGTGCAATCAACCAAGATTCTAATCGGAATCACAAGATCGGTTCCTTAGTTTTCAGTGCTTGTCTTGTCTTGGAACCTCATTGGACCGAGTAAAGCAAAAATTAACGAAGCACAAAGACACACGTGTGCTTACCTATTTGCTCAGTGCAGAAATAAAAATAGATTTAACAAGAGAAATATAAATAAAAATATAATAGAAAGAACAATAGAAATAATCAAGTACATAGACAAATAATAAAATGGCGTATCTTGTAAATAGATAAATCAACAGGAGATTTGTTAGTTCTGAATAAAGCCGGTAATAGTCTGTTCCACATTTCTAAACGGAGGTTCCCGGAAAATTAAAAATTCCCCTCTTGTATATGTATGCGTCTCATTCGACCTGGCTGGAAGTATTTCATCTTGGTCTTACGAAGATTTTCAAGATTACTTGCTATTATGTTCGCAGATCCCAAACAATGGACAGAAGAACAAGTTGCTCATTGGGTGTGTTGGGCGATGAGGGAGTTCTCTCTCGATAGCAGTTCGCCGCAGCAGCTTTTCATGAAGGGGAAAGATATCTGTGCCATGGGGAAAAACTCATTCCTCGCTAGAGCGCCCATGTACCTAGGAGAAATTCTGTGGGAACACCTAGAAATGCTTCAAAAAGGTAAGTCTCCTCACCTATAAATCCAATTTTACTATCTACTGTAAGGATAAAACAGTCTGAAACACGCTGTTGGCGCTCTGTAACTACATATTTCTCTTGTTATTCCTCAATTGTATTTATTCAGTGAATTTTTATAGTTTATAGTTAACCATGCATTGTGATAATCTTCTTCGTTGTTTTATGTTTTAATCTATTTCATTTTATCGTATCACTGAAGATGGGTTTAAACTTGTAACGCATACGATGAATTATATTATGTTAATTTGAAAAGTTAAAAAGGCGTGTTTAGGTTTGTTTTATCCTTACTTTAATCCTTACACTGGAAAAAAAACACATTGGAACTAGAGTCCAGACTATTGAAAACATTGACAAGAAAATGGACTCTTGATTCAATCAGATTTAAGCTTAAATCAAGAACCAAGCCTCTTAATTTGAGCGGATTTCCTTTTGATTTAAGCTTAAATCTGATTAAATCAAGAGTCCATTTTCTTGTCAATGTTTTCAAGAGTCTGGACTCTAGATCCAATGTGTTTTTTTTTTTTTTTCCAGTGTATCTTAATTTGTTCAGAATTTATAAGGGTGATGCCTAGTGTTGGTGGTGCGGGACTTTAGGAGCACCCTGTATATTTTTTATAACCTTAAATGCAGCCGGCTTTGTTTCTCTTCATGGTGTAAGCGCAAGGCGCAACAAGTGGAAGGCGTTCACTCGCAGTGTGCTTCGACCTGACAGTGTGACTAAAAATACGGTGTTGCTGCGATGGGTCGGTCACGTTGGTACGAAGTTGATCGGAGCGTTGCGAGTGTTTCGTGTCATGACGAGCTGTAATTAAATTAGCACTCCCTCCCTCCTTGCGTAGCTCTGCCCGAGCTATGATACATGTCGCGTCTGTTCAACAATAGCGTCGCATAAATAATTAATCGCCGCTGCCTTTACCTCCAGGCCCGAGGAGAACAAACGGGTGTCGAGCTGAGGAAAAACGCCGTATGAACCTTCAGGCGCTGCCAAATTGCCTTTGATAAAACAAGAATCTACTGGGAAAATTCTGCATATATTTCATCGAATTTTTCAGACAATTCTGTTCACAATTTCATTGATAACATTTGAAAATTTCAAGGTAAAATATGCATAACTTTCCGCAAAAATGAACATTTTATCGTCGGAAATTTTGAAACTCTCGAATGTTCATACGGCGTCCTTCCTTAGCACGGTAGAACGGGTGTCGAGCTTATTTACCTCTTGTTCGAACAGAAGCACAATCATAAGCTCTGAATGTCTTAATTCGAAAATTCAACTCTAGTTCAAGTATTTGAAAAGGCTCTCTACGATACGAAACACTTTGCACTCCTGATCCTGACTCTATATAGAGTTTTTGGAAGAGCTGAATTCAGAATTTAAGCACAGTTACCTAAAATAATGTCTAATCAAGGATCTATTTTTTTAGCATCAGTTTCATTACAATTAGAATTTTGTTTTGAATAAGAAGAATCACCTCAAGTTTTAACGTGGATATTTAGCGTAAAATTTATGAAATAACGAACCAAGTCCTCAGAATGTTAGTATATCAAGGCAATCACTCAAATTCACGAAAGTCAGTGACTTGCAACCCAAGTCGATACTCATTCGCGCCCTTGGGATGTTCAAATTGCGTAATTTTACCATTTGTTAAAGGCATTGCAGTAGATCGCCGAGAAGATCTGAATGCTCCGCAAAGTTACCGCAAATGACACCGGTATGCGGTAATCTTTTTACGTTCTAAGTGACCGAATAGCATGAACATGCTTTTGAAGGCATCTCTAAATTCCTAGAGTCGATAGTTCGAGCAGTATACATATAGCTAGCTAATAAAAGTTCAAACTCTACGCGATAACTATTCGCACTCTTAAGTATGTTAAATTGCATACACACATTTTGGAAGGCATTTTGGTCGATCGCTTAAGTTGGAATCTGAGTCCGAAAATGGCATACGATAACTATTCGTCCTCGTGAGATAGTCAAATTGCATACACAACTTTTTGAAGGATTTTCTGTGTATCGCACAGAAGTAGATCTAAACTTCGTGTTATCACAAGTTAGTGTCATCGCCAAATGATGACAGTTCATACTCTCAAGATGATCAAATCACATACTTCTCTCGACTTTTTCAATTCGCCGATCACTGATCATTGATCAGCGCGCCAAAATGGAGCGTGCGCCTTCTTCGGAACGAGCTGTAGGAGTTTTGATTTGTGGCCGAGCATTGACGCCCCCCAACCCCCCCTCCGGGTGTTCAGCCGACCGATCATCACAATCCCGTATTGCCAAATTTTGAGCGCAATTTCTCCGAATTCAGAACGGGAATTAGAGTGGATGAATTGACTTGATAGCTTTGGCTACTACTCCTAATCGAATGGATCGTTTTTCGCCACTTTCTCTTATCACAAGTCGAGATTTCTCTTCGGGATTGATGAAAACGCGGCTAAAAAGTGTTGAGAGATGTTTTATAGCAAAATTATTTGCACCGGTGATCACCTCGGATGAATAAGAGAGAAAGAAACTTCTCAATATTTATAATTTGCTATAAAACTTCCTAATTTCAGATTGAAACCTCTGAAATCAACGTACTTTTCTTTCAAAAGTCCGTATAATACTCTATGTATGAAAAACTTCGGACATACAGCTAAAAAAAAGATATTACGAGATTGTAAATCGCATTCTTATCATGAGATAGGTGGCTTCATAAAGCCCCTACCTCCTGTCAACCAGTAAATTCTTCATGCTGCGAAATAGTCACCGTTGTAAAGCGAGCGAGAAAATCTAGTGCGCCTTCAATTTTGGAGCTCTGCAACACGGACATCTTAAGAGCTCGAATAGTTGTATCTAGGCGCTAGCATCAAAGCAGGGCCTCTATCTGTCGCACAGTCAAGCGAGTCAATGGGAGAGGTGAGGCGACATGTGTAGTAAGTAACATTTAGACGCATTTGACACTATATATTTGCAGTAACAAGTAGTTAAAAATAAGTTGTTTCATCATTGATATGAGGTATTGAAATCTAGATTAAGAGGGAATAACTATGCCACCTAGCGTCTTTCTTTTTTTCAAAGGTTTCGGTTTATTTACTTGTAGATTTCTTTAATATCGTCAACCGATAAATGCCTCTTTCATTTTCGCTCGTCCGATTTTTTTATTTTTCGATTCGACGCGGATAAATCCCGGAAAATGGGGCCGAAATCGACTCGGAAGAATCGAGAAATAATTTGGGGCCGCCGCGGTGGTGGCGAGACAGTGCAAACTGACCTTAACCTCCCGCCCGGGAATAATGACGTAATTACGGGACGGAGGAAACGTCCGAGTCGATAATCTGCGGCGATTTTCGAGGAAACCAACTCACACTTAGCGGCAAAACGGTAAAATCGCATTAATTTTCGCGGCGATTACTCGCGTTCCCGCGCTGCCCGCCCGCGTCCAGGTCGCAGTTCGCGGTTTCGGCGGCCGGGAAAATGGACGACGCCGTGGCCGAAAACCGCAAGTGGCCACTCCCGGTGTCGTCAGTTGTTGCCCGTCGCCTCTCCCACGCTTCGTTTGCTTTGTCTTTCCGATTGCCACCGATCTGTCGTTCATTCAAGTCCCGTTTTCAGGCGGTCCCCGCTTTTTTCTAGACCATGGATTGTCGTCCAAAGGATCCTAAAATTTAAGTGATCCTCGGCAATACAGATCACTGAAATTTTTCGACTCAAATGACTGAATTTTTCGGTCATAGGAACCAAACTGTGGTTCAACTAGCCGTTCAAAAAACGTCGATTCAACGTGAATTCAATTTTCGGGGGCCGGGCCAACCTGACGTAAATAGTGGTGACATCTTGTTTTACCATCAAACAAGACTGGTTCAACATTGGGACTATTAACTATCTTGTTTTACCATTGAACAAGACTGGTTTAACATTGAGATTATTAACTATCTCGGAGAAATATTGACATAGGGTGCAAGCCAGACAGCTCAGGGAATCTTTAGAATCTAGAGCGGAACTTTGTGTTGAACTGTAATTTTATTTTGCGAGTACTAATAAATTCATATGTTCAAACCATTTTTGAGCGTAAATATTCCGTAGAACTATAGCAAAAGCAGAGACACTGAGATTGAAGCTATACGCGTGGGTCGATTTTAATTTTCTCACCACAGAAGACGGGAGCTGCTCCTTTTTTTACGCATGTTCGAATTCTTGGCCTACATTTACGTAACCTAAAACAAATCTAACCTAAACCCTAATAATCATTGTCTCGGAACTTTAAGACGTCTTATCGCCTTCAATTTCTGAGGTCTCAGAATCAAACTTGCGTCAAAATATCCAGATTTTCTTTTTCTATGCTGTGATACCAATAACTCAATTTTGAATTTTTCGAAGATGATAAGACCCCTCTTCACAGATCCTGCCGTATACGTACATTATTGTCTCTCTCAGTATAAATGCTTCCAATTAAAGCTCTGCCCTCCTGCTCTAATTCGAAACTGATCTCGAGACGCAGACCCGAGGGCGTGAATCTGAATCGTTGACGAAGGGCGGGATCGCGGCGTGGGGTGGGGGGTGCGGGAGGGGCGCGCAGGGGGCTAATGACGCCGCCGTGCGAGATAATGATGATAACACTTCGGTGTGCGCCATGTAGGACAGTGCAGCAAAACGAGTTTGCAAGGCAACTCCCGACTCGGAGCGCATGTAGTTAATGGTCAGCGGATTGCATAACTTCCGGCACGCTCCTCCGAGAGCGATCCGTGATCCGCGATCCGCCGCGGAAAAACCGCGATTTATGCCCGTCAGTCGTCGGGGAGGGCGGGAGGGGGAGGGGGAGGCAGGCAGAGGCAGACATGGCATTTTTAACGCTTTCTAACTTCGGAGCTCTCCAGGTTAATGATGGTAGATGGCTCTGTCGATAAAGGCTCGCTCGCCGAAGACGGAGCCCGGCCTGCGTCGGTGATGTAACAGCGACAAATGTAACAATACAGGAGCATCAGCAATTATTCAATTT